TGTTGACCAGGATGGTCTCGATCTCTTGACCTCGTGATCCACCCGCCTTGGCCTCCAAAAGTGCTGGGATTACAGGCGTGAGCCACCGCGCCCGGCCCTACAAACCCCTTAAATTTTTATAGAAAACCAAATATCCTATGCAAGAGACACAAAATGTTAGATTTACATACAGTGCCTCTGCCCAATCAAAAAGAAAATCAGTGGACTGGGGTATGAAGAAATACGTTAGAAATCTAGGTCAATATCCCTTATACAAACAAACACAGAATAGAATGACTTTTTATTTGTAGTAATCAACATGATGCCACAAATAAAATTTTCAGTAGTTTTTTTCAAGTCTTGGACTCTGACTTACAAGAAGCTCAGTATATTTTGTGGATTTAGTGAGGGCAAAGCATAGTCCCTGGTCTGAGGAGAAGCTATCCATCCACAACTCACAATGCAAGCATCTCAGCCGGGTCTATTAATTTTCCATACACATGAAGCCAAATTCTGCCTGGATTATTATGCAATTTTCAAAATGGCTCTAAGTCTTTCAACTTACAAAGTTACCATTTACATTGCACTGGCCTGCTGGCTGGGATGAATGAATGAACACTCTTTCCCAAAGGACCATAATTCATTCTCTGATCATAGCTTATACATTTGGGAGCACTGGGATCAGTGTGCCTGGCGCCTCCCCTCCCCTCTGCCCCACAAAGGAGTCATACACTGCAAGAGAAGGGGAGACAAAGTGGCTGTGTGCCATAGAGTGCAGAGGTGTGGCCAGGGAGGTGTTGACTGTGAGCAGCACCAGTCTAACATATAAGCAACTGTCTACATGATGTGATTTCAGGTGCACCAAAAAAGGCCTCATTGCCCCTCAGTTTAAACACTCCCTTCCCACTGGCAGATGCCTGAAATTCCACAGTTTTTAGAGCTCTGTTCCTTTGGTTTAAAGCTTTGATCCTGTTAAAATACTCATACCCCTGGGTGGGCAGCCCCATTATAACCTATAAACCATATACACTGTAAGCGGATGAATTCTAAACTTTCTTCTCTGAAAGCAGGTTTTGAGAGTGGGGTTCAGGGCAGAAGATACTGTGTACCTGAGTGAGATGGGGAGAGGAGAACATCACCTGGGGGGCAAAGGAAACTGGGCCCAAGACAAACAGTGTGTGCGTGTGTGGCCGTGTGCACGGCTGTGTATGAGCTCCTCCCATGGCGGCAGCTGTTGAACACCCTTTCTTAACCCTCCCCCAGAAAACTTGATTTATGCTGCTTTTGGAGCCATGGAACCAGACTCTCCTCCTAGCTACAGCAAGATAATAGCTGCTGGCTACAGCTGGGAATTTTCGAATTCTTTCAAACTGGAGACTAGGAGCAAAAGGTGAAGAAAAGTTCTTCTGGGCCTGCTGTGCTAGGTAGCCTTCCTCTGGTGTCCAAAGAGAAAGATGGGGCCCAACAGTGTTATCTAAATGCTTCCAACTTGGCCTGAAAGCACAGAATCATGAATTATCAAAAGTGAACAGTGGCTCAATCAGCATATCCTTTTGTTTTTCTATACTGATTGTTTCTCTTTGTCTCTTCTAGCTGAAGAGTAAGGATGAATCACTGGCCTTACTTCTAACACAAGGAAGGGAGCCTTGAAAGGTAAGACAGTTGTTTGTGTAAAAGAGAAAAAGAAAACCCAGTCTTAATTCACCAGTCGCCCATCTGAGCAGTATATAGCATGTAATGTAACAGATTGTATGCTTTAGTTAAGGAACTGGATTTTCATCAGTAAAATTCCAAGTTACTAGGTAGGCAGAGCAGACAGCTGCTCATGGCTTTCCTGCAAGCTTTCCTCCATGTCAGTTTCAGTGCCTGAAATTCCACTATTAGAGTCATCACTTAGGGACTAGAAGGTTAGAAAGTCTTTGAGAGGCACTTATAAAAATGGAACCACTCCTTAAACCTAGCAGGTTTTATTAACTCCTACCTTAGGTTGGCTAAAAGCCCTGAAGTTGCTGCTTGGAGTGGGAGCAGAAGCTTTTAGGCTAAAGAAATATTTTTCAAAACATCAGGGACAGCTTGCCTATGACATAGCCCATATCCTAGTCATTCACATATCACACACATATTTTGTTATATCTTCATACTCCCATTACTATTAAGTATTTTTCTTCAAACCCACTCACATTTTTATTGGAATTTATCATGGCACCAGTTACTTAGCTTTGTCCTAACAAAATCATGGGTTGGATGTACTAGTTACATATATTTCTTCTAATCCACCATTAAAATAAATATTTACTAAAATGAAAAGCAAAAACTTCATTGGTTCACTTCAGTGAACTCAGGGATTCACATACTGCAATTTGGGAGCACTGCCCTAGCTCATACAAAGTGTATTAGATATAAAAGTGTATATTAAAAATAAGTCACAGTCCCCATTTTCCAGGTACTCAGTACCCAGTAGTTGAAAACAACTGTTGCCTTTGTAGTTAGTTGCATGAGCTCTGGAAGATCATGAATTTATGGGAGGTCATGTCTTCCTCTGCAAGGTCATGAAATTCAATCAATGCTTGCCTTCCAATCTGCCCTTTGGTCACAGGGCTCCACAGGTGGAACATATCAAACTCACCAGCCAAATTATGACTCTTAATTGGTGTTTCTTTTAAAGTGGATATGTCATTTGTCAAATGTTCAATGCAGGCGCAGGCCTAGCCCCAGGCAAAATTATGAAGTAGGAGAAGAATACCAGATACACTGGCCACACTGAAATGTTTGTTGAAAAAAGAGTGAATGAGCCCTCCGTCCTTGACTCCTTCTCTCCCATCCCCCATATCCACTAGGTCACCATGCCCTTTTAACTCTATATGCTAAATATCTCCAGTAATTTTTTTCCATTTCCAAATCTTCTCTGCTACAGGACTTTATCATTTCTTGTCTGGGTTATTTTCACAGCCTCTTAACTGGTCTCCTTGCTTCCAATCTTTTTCCTTCCCAAGCCATTCTCCACAGTGACTGCTGCTGGAAGGATCTTTTAATCAGGAGAATATGATCATGGCACACCCCCCCCCCCCCCCCCCCCCAGGCTCCTCCACATGGCTCCAAGACTGCATAATCTGGCCCTTGCTTACCTCTCTCACCTTAGCTCTTCCAACTCCCCAAGCTGGAATCATTACTTGCACCTCCCAACCTCCAACTGGGCCATGCCAAGCCCTGTTCTCTCAGTGTCTTTATTTATGCTGCTTTCTTTGCCTCAGCACCCTTCTCCCCATCTGCTTGTGTCACCTAAACTCCTACTGGTCTTTTGAGTCTGAGTTTAGGGCATCATTACCTCTGGCACACTTTCTCTGATCCCCCCAACCCTTAGAACTTTATCTAAGCATTCACACAGTGGTTTAACATTCTACTTGGTTGTTTCCCCCATTAGTTTGCAGTTCTTTGAGGTCAGGTCCCACACCGGTTGGTTAATCTTTGTATCCTCATTGTCTGTTTGTAATCTACAGCGCCTGGAACACAGTAGGAGTTCAAATATTTGTTACCGAATGAATAAATGGATGAATGAACTTCCCCCATGACCTTCCTCTCTCTTTGCCTCCCTTCTCAGCTCCCGGGTCCTGGAGCACAACCTCCTCTCCCTAGACCTTGCACACCCCAGACAATTTCCTGGTGCTGAGGTTTTCCCTTAAAACCTACTTTCAGTTAGGTCAGAAACAAGACCATCAGATGACAAACTAATTCATGTTGAGGTGTTAAGTAATTTCATCATACAAATACTTATTGAGTTCTCTACTGGGCTAGAGTGTGGAGGCTCATAAAAAGAATCCACGCTAAAGATCCCTACTTAGCAGCATATAGGTAATGACTAAATGCATTCCTCCTCGGAGAGATATGTGATTCTCAAAGAACTGGATTTCTGATAGTGAAATGTAAGCAGGAGAGGTGGGATTTGGGTGTAGGAGACCTTTCAAATAGCCTTCTACTCCATCTATGAAATAGGTTAGCTTTGGCTCAATAAATTTGCTGTGTTATACATTACCATTACATCATTACGATTTTCTAATGAGTGAGGCTGGTTTTAAGCCCTGGTTATTGAGTTGTCACGTTATGCTTTGCTTCACGAAGGGCCACCTGGGACTATCATGCAGTAGATTCTTTTAACATCCCAGGATCAGGTGATTTCTCTGACTTTGTACGGCTTTATAGAATCAAATCTAGCAAGCCACGGGGGTTGTCAGACTTCTTAGACACAGTATTCAAAGGTAAGGCAGACTGTGAAAAGCCCAGTGGTACCTGGCTACCCCTGAACGTGACTATTTGCGGGTTGGCTTTGAGAACCCGGTCAGGGCTGCGTTAGGAAAACGGTTCGCGGAAAGCTCCTCAGAGAGCAGAATGAGGAGGTGGATTTTGTGGGGAGAAGGAAGACCTTGTGTGGCTCTGGTGGCCAGGAAAGTGCTGGAACAGGCTGAAGAAGGCCTGTGGCGAAGCGGGGGGGGGGGCACCTAAGCCAGGGACCCCCACCTGCCCCTAGGAAGGATGAAAAGGTTGTAAAAATCCTTAAGGGAAAAGCCCTCCAGGTTGTAGACCAATGAGCGGCGTGAAGGAGGAGTGAGGCTGGGGAACTTCTCTCAGAGCCAGTCAGAGGACAGCTGCTGGGAAGCCAATCAGCGCGCTCGAGCCTGCAGCCCCTCTGCAGTAGTAATGCCAAAGCGCCCTGTGTGGAGCAGCGAGCGGACAGCTGGGCTCCGCTGCCGGGAGCCATCGCGCGCGCTCCGCAACCTCCTCCAGCAGTGCCCCCGCCCGGTCCCCACGCTGCGGTGCCCCAGTGGCCCCTGCCGCGCTCCACGCCGCGCCCCCCGCACTCCGCAGGCTATCAGCAGCAGGACCGCCACCGCCCCCTGGCAGCGCGGCTCGCCTCGCCCCGCCCCGTTCCTCCTCGCCCCGCCCCACCCCAGTCAGCCCCGCCCTGCCCCGCGCCGCCAAGCGGTTCCCGCCCTCGCCCAGTGCCCAGGTAGCTGCGAGGAAACTTTTGCAGCGGCTGGGTAGCAGCACGTCTCTTGCTCCTCAGGGCCACTGCCGGGCTTGCCGAGTCCTGGGACTGCTCTCGCTCCGGCTGCCACTCTCCCGAGCTCTCCTAGCTCCCTGCGAAGCAGGATGGCGGGGACCGTGCGCACCGCGTGCTTGGTGGTAGCGATGCTGCTCAGCTTAGACTACCCGGGACAGGCGCAGCCCCCGCCGCCGCCGCCGGACGCCACCTGTCACCAAGTCCGCTCGTTCTTCCAGAGACTGCAGCCTGGACTCAAGTGGGTGCCCGAAACTCCCGTGCCAGGTGAGGAGGGGTCCCGTGAGCGTTCTCTGTGCCCAGCGGGGAGCAAGGGGCGTGTGTGGTGGCTGTACCCCCAGCGCGCTAGCCCCGCCGGGATGCAGTCGTGCGGCCTGAAGCTGGGCAATTGGGAGTGGTCTGTGTGCCTGGGGCCTGGCTGGATCTACTGAGGGAGGGAGAGAGGGTGTGTGTGGACAGAGCCCATATCCCCCAGTCTCACGCTGCTGTCAGGGAAGGTGCGAGCAGGAGGAACCGTGGGGATTGCCTTCTCGTGAGCGCCCATTTTATGGAAGGGCAAGAAGGTGGGAGCTATTTCCCTGGGTCTCAGCGAACTGGCGCCCCACAGCCGAGCTAGTGCTTCGGGAATTTGCCATTCTTGCTCACACATGCATGTCAGAATTTCAGCCTTAGCTGGGCCACAGCTGCAGCCGTCTTTTCCTCAACGTGCCCCCCATGCTCTCTTTTACCCAGCCTGGGTTTTCCTAAGTTCACAGGCCCAAGTGCAAGCAAAGTTGAGGACAGATTTCTGAATCTGCAGTGGTGGGTGAAGACACACTGAGGCAAACTTTTGAGTAAGAGGGTCACCAAAATGAGGAGGATTGATCCTTTTCCTTCAGAACAGCGTCCGTTGAATAGGTTAGCGAAATCGCTTTAAAAACGGTGCTGCTGGCCCGGGGAGCAGGAGTCCAAAGATGATTTAACTCCTCCCCCTCCCAAATTCATCTGCCTTCTTGACAGGCTGGACCCTAAAGGGGAGATGATTTTAGGTGGAGGAAAGTTTCTGAACGCCTGCCTTTTGTTCTCACAATCAGATCGTGCCGTAAGGACATATTTTAACATTAGCCGAGGGCTGCCGCTGTCAACAGATGAATATTAATGGCCCTGTGCGAATGACTGTCCAGCGGTTGGGCTCCTAACACCGCCTTAGAATCCAATTAGAACAAGTTGCTACGCTGACAATACGGACAAGAACAGTCAATTTCAAACAGGTTAATTTGTCAGGGGTGCACTGAGAAGAAACGGCCAGTCGTATTCGCTAACCGTGAGACGTTGGTGGCCTCCAGGGTCTCTTCTCAACTCAGGCATCCAGTGAGGCGCGCGTCCCGCGCTTCTGAAGGATCAGGGAGCAGCCCTGGCTAAAACTTGGCTGGTGGCTCTCAGCAAGTCATGGAGGCGGGCTTGATGGTTGGACCAAGTTGTGAATGCGGATGCGCGCCCCGTGGGCGCTGCCAGCCAGCGTTCACTGGTAGGAGGTTACCTAGGTAGCCAGCGCGCCCTCAGCCTTTTCTTTAGGTTGATGAAAAGAGCCGAGTGAGCCTGCTGTTTAGTTGCAAAGGTAATTGGTCACCCTTTTTGGTAACTGAAATGCATTTGCGCATATGTTAAATATTGCTTTGCAGGATTTCACTCTAAGGGAGGGTCGAACTACCTCATCCGTTGTTAAGAGTTAATAGTGTACCACGTGGACGTGTGCAGGAGCTGTAAGGGGCAACCTATGAATCAGTTCCATAGAACTGAAACAACCAGTCAATCTCTCTCCCCTGGAAGTGCCATGGTAATTAGATTGTTAAGGCTAGAGAACATGCTTTTGTTGGTAATGTAAAAATTGATCCTCACAGACTGAGCCCCCACAAGATGAATGTGTTCGGGGTTGGGATTGGGGCCACATTTGGCTAATTTGAAGCCGGAGGTAAAGGTGCTGCCTAAAAGAAGAAAAAAGGCCAGAGGACAGCACAGATAGTCATTTAGCAACCCCCCTCTACACACACACACTCATGCAGGCACTCACCCTCTCTCATTCTCCTCCAGCTCTCTGGCTGCCTGCCTCTTTGCAGCAGTATTGGGAGGGCCCACACACTGTGTGTATGTGATTTGGCCTGGGCTCCTTCCCTCACTTTAGGCCTAGGGATGGCCATACTCTTATAGAGAAGAGGGAATTGTAATAAATATTTTTTATTTTCCTCTACTATTTCACAAACTATAGGAGAAATTGCTTTTCAAAGGTTTCATCATATAAACCCAACATTCCCTGCTTCAGTTCTATTTAACAAGCACAAACACTGTTGAGCATCTTCTATATGGGAGACACTGTCCTGACTCACACTGGAGCCAAGCCAAACTTCAAATATGGTGATCCCCATACAGCTACCATTATATATCCTGGCTTTTCCGGGGCAGTGCAGGCTTCTAATACTGTGTACTGGCATGAAACCATGTGTCCTGAGTTTTAGTGGGACAAATATGGTCACTGTAGATATGGAAAACGTGGAAATCCTAATGTTCGTGTGTAGAAAGAGCTCACCAGTATTTTAGGGAAGAGACAATAATGGCAGACTAAATACAATGGCAAGTGCATAATTTCAAAGTGAATAAATGTGTAATTTGCTGCTGTCGTTCAGTGGTTGGAAATTGAAAGAGAGCTGAAAATTATTTGATAGTTATGAACCATCATGATGACCGCTTGACTTTCCCCCCTCCGCATTCATATTTTAAGCCATGTTCAGTTTGCCTGCTGCACTATATTAACTGCATTAAAGCTTTCTTTGTCCCAGATCAAATGAGATTCAGTCACAGTAAGGAGAAATCCTCAAGAATGTCCTGTTTCACTTAGGGGGAGCATTTGGGATTGACTGCTAACTTCGGCTATTAGCAGAATTGGGTTAGCCTGAATAAGGTACATTTCTTATGCTAATATGGATGAGACTAAATGGCATTTGAGATCAGCCAGGCTAAAAAATAAATCACTGGTGCTGAAGGACTACACTAGACTTCCACAAAGCTGATCTAAAGCCTTACAATCTCATGTTCCCGTTTCTTTTGGAGTGTTCAGGTCACAGGATAGCAATTCTAAATAGCATGTTCCCAAAATCCATAGATCTCTTCATACCCCACTTATTATTTTTTTTTTTTTAAGGATTTGTAACTTGGAAAGCACCACAGATGGAAACCAGGCGCACAGAGTTAGCATTTGGCAGAAAAATCTATATAACTGACTTTCAGTACAGCTCTTTTGCCCTTATTTAATTTAGAAAAATTCAGAATAGAGCCAATGAGCTCATAAGTCTAGATGTTTATTTTGTTTTCTTTAACCTACCCACAGGCGCAATCAAGAATGGATACAATTTTAGGGAAGGAAAGTGAGCTAGTAATCAGACAATGATGTTTCCAATTGTCTCAAGGGAATGTTACAGAAGTCTGGCAACAAATTCCTCTAAACAAAAATCAAGTGTAATTCACTTTATGAATGCCATACACCACTTTTGTTGGGGGAGGGGGGAGAGTAAGACATGGATGGAAATGAGAAAATCAAACAAACCGTGGTAGTGTTGCAACTCCCAAAAGATTGAGGGCTCTTGCCTTGGAGGGTCTTGGAAAGTGCGAGAACCGATCTAGAAGGCCAAATGCCTGTATGTGTAAAAGGCAGCCTTGAACAGCCAAAATTGACTTGGAGTTTCTTGAAATAGATGAAACAACATAAAAATAAAAAGCAACACGCTTGAAACAAAGAGATAGTTTGGTATTTGTTGTTGTTTAAGTCTGAGAACTAGCCTCCGTAGCTGGGTTGCCAGCTGCAGTTGCCCAATTAGTTTGAAGCAGTTAGCGGTCCTAATGTTGAGAGAGAGAAGTGAGGTGTGGAAGAGTTTTCTCTCCTTTGAGATTGCACTAGACATTTGGGTGACCAGGTGATTTGTTAAAACTTTCAAACTTTGAACAATGCAAAAACCTCTGTATTGTGTACTAACTTGGAACAGTTAGAGAATTCCTTCAAATGTGGTCTAAATAGTACACGAATCCTGATACTGATACCAAGCTGTGCTTAGAGGGAGCCATCAATCTGGTGGAGGACATGGCTGATGATTTGCGGGGCACCTTGGGCTGAAAGGAGTCTAACACTGCCAACTCCTTGGCAGCCTCTGTAATAGGTGCTGGGAGTGAAGAGAGGAGTGAGACGCAATCCCTTTTGTCAAGGAGCTCACAGTCTAGTGGGGGAGCATGCAAGTAAACAGGCTTCCCAGGAAACTTGTAGGATTAAAAGGGTGAAAAGGGCTAGAAAATACCTCCAGGAAATTGGCTGAAATCGTCACAATAGCCAGCCTGGGTAAGGGAAAAGAACTGAAGAGATGAAGTGGGAGATAGGGAGAAGTCTCTTAATAGGGCCACCATCTTAAAAAGAGTTTCTTAATTCTTAGAGCAAATTCCATTTTGAAAGCATTAGGAAATACAGACATAAGAAGAATTTTGATGGATGCTAAATGACGCAGATGGTGTCAGTTTTGCAATATGTTTTTTTCTTAAGGGCTGGTAGGTTGTATCCAATATTTTGATGCAATATTTTTGAGCATTCTGCTACTTCCATCTTTAGAGTTGCAATGTTTGCTGTTCACTGTAGCCTAGAAAAAGGCAGCTTATTACCGATCTGGGAGAAGAGTCCTGGATTTGTCTGGTCTGAGACAAGACTGCAAATATGTTTTCTCTTTAAATGACAGCTATCAATGACCACGCCAACTTCAGTATTTGATGCATATACAAAGCATGGGTCTTAAGAGGTATCTTATTACTCATTTCTAAGAAAATTGAAGATAATCACTTATAACTTGTGCACACGATACATCATTTGGAAAGAATTTCACTGGGGATTGTGTTGCTCAACTGAAAAGTTCTGGCATGCTGAATTTGTACATTTTTTGTGAATGCTTCCTTTTGCTCTGATCTCTAGCTTTTTTCTGCATATGGTTATTTGTATGTTTTAGATTATAAGCCTCTTAAAGGGAAAGCACTACTTTTGAGCAGTGTTGAGCACAAGGCCATACAGCATTAGTAAATAATTGACAAAAATAGAATTTCTAGATCATTATGTGTTCCCTATGAACTCTCACATACCTTCTTAAGCCATATGTCATCTTACATATTTTAAAAACCTAAGTCTAAATTGTTACAATACATTATTGGGACATGTGGACAAACTTTTCAGCCTACATATATTTTGGCTGGAGACAGATGCAGGC